GAAGCAACGTCCTCCACAACTAGACTGAAGAACAAAAGGACAGCAACTTGTCTGTTCCCCTTCCCCCAATTCCCCAGCATTGTTCCCATCCCCCCAATTCCCCAATAAAAATCTTAAAAAAAAAAAAAAATTGGGCGGGGGGGGATGTTTTATCATTCAGATACCCAAAAAATGAAAGATTTTAAATGCAACAAGAATCAAGATCCTTCACATTATCTCATTGGGATAGGAATGCTTCATATCAAATATAAAATCAATAAAATTCCAGAAAACCTGGGAAATCTATGCCAAAAGAATATTCTACTTTTGATTCCAGAAAACAGGCTAAAGAAATATTTTGAGGAATAAATCACATTTAAAAGTAACATTAAAAATAAATAACCCAATTCACAGCAAATCTCAGAACTGTAATTCTCATGTTATCATTTACTTTGAAAACACGTAGTTCTTTTCTACATAAAACATGTAGGTGAACAATAAACCCTACTATATACATAAACTGCTTGAAACTACTTACTGTGAAAGTTGAGGAGGCACACTTTGGATTTCGTTGTCACATAATACCAAGTAATTTAGAGAAGGCAGGTTTGCTAATTCTGGTGGGATTTCTTTGATGAAGTTTCCTCCAAGATATAAACACTCTAAACTGCAAAGATAAATGAGCAAAAAAAGAGTAAACAAAAGCTGGACAAGATAATCTATTATCTTTTATTACAGTGAACATATTTCATCTTTTCAGCAAATGTTTTACTTGGGATTTGCTATGTGCTGTAGTCTCTAGAGAAATAATGCAATCTTCAGGGAGCTTATAGGTAAGCAGACAAGAAACATCAATATTTGACAATACTATCAATAATGCCTACTGGTTTTATTTTTGTTAGTATTTATTTCATTTAACCCCAGCTCCACCACTTACCAGTGTAAGAACTTGGGCCCATTACTTATCTCATTATGCCCATTTCCTCTTCTTTATAATGGAATATTATTATTATATATCATGTAAAGTGCCCAGTGAACAAATGTGAATCAGACACCTACCATGTGCCAGGTACCATTCTAGGGAGTATAGTAGAAATAAGACCCAGCTCTTAACCTTAGGTAGCTTCCATTCTAGTGAGAAAGACAGAAAATAAATCAATGAATTTGTATATATCTTGCCAGACAGCTTTAAGTGCTATAAAGAAAAAGGGAGGTAATTGGATGGTGATGGAAGTGATGTTCTAGATAGGGTGGTCATAAAAGGTTTCTTATAAATGAAATTTCAATGGAGAGCTGAATGAGATGATTGAGTACAAATCCCTGAGGTGGAAAAATGCTTGTATTGTGAAAAAGCAACACAGCCAGCGTGGGTAGATTAGGGTGACAGAGGCAGGAAAGCGATAGTCAAATAGGTCAGAGAGGTAGCCTGGGAAGGTCAGATCAGAGGGCTCTTTGGACCTTAGTAAGGATTTTGAATTTTATCGAGTTGTGTGCTGTTTACAAGAGTTACGTTTAAAACAGAAATAATCCAATACATTAAAAGTAAAGGGACAGAAAAAGATGTACCAAGCTAATTTCTATCATTTCACATCTAGACTACTACATTAGGCTTCAGTCTGGTCTTCCTGCTTCCACTCCTCCCATCATACTCCCCTCTTCTCCCACTTCTGCAGTTATTTTCCACACAACAGCCAAAATGATCCTTCTAGAGTGTAACTCCAGTATAACCTTTAGAAGTTCTTTCAGCAAGGACCCACCATGGTTGTTAATCTTAGAGTTCTTTGTCTGATATTTTAATTTTTTCCCTCACTCATGAATAATAAATTGCTTGGTTGAGCATAAAGGTCTAGGTTGACAATTACTTTTCCTTAGCACTAGGGAGATACTGTTCCATTATCTCATTTCAGCCCGTATTACTATTGCTCCTTTGTAGGTAATCTGTTTATTATTAGCTTTTAAGATCTTTTTTCTTTATTTGAACTATTGTTCTGAAGTTTTATGATGATATATCAAGATATCAATTTAGAGAGGTCTCTTTAACTGTGAGAAATTCTCAGCCACTGTTATTTCAAACACTGCCTTTCTAGAATTCCTACTAAAGAGCAGTTAAACTTCAAAATCAGTTCTCCATGTCTCTTCACATTTCTTTCATACTCTCCATTTCTTTATCTTTTCGTGCGATGGCAATACATTCAGGAGAATGCCTCTGTAAGATCATTCAGCTGATTCATCAGCTGACCTCAGTCTACCATTCAACCCACTGAACTCATAATTACATTTTTTCATTTCTGGGAATTCTAATTGGCGTTTTTTATAATTGTCCATTTTTAAACTTCTTATTCTTTTTTTTTTTAAAGATTTTTAAAATTTATTTTTATTGGGGAATTGGGAGGATAGGAACAGTGCTGGGGAACTGGGGGAAGGGGAACAGACAAGTTGCTGTCGTTTTGTTCTTCAATCTAGTTGTGGAGGACGTTGCTTCACTGGCCCAAGTTGGTA